GTGTGTGTGTGTGTGTGTGTGTGTGTGTGTGTTTGAGAAAGGGAGCAGGTATAACTATATAGGTTAGGCTGTCCTAGAACTGGTTATGTAATGCAGAGTGCTCTCCAACTTGTGTCTCTCCCGACTCCAGCTCCTGAATGCTAGTATTACAAACAGTTTTATTTTTAAGGCTAAAATTGCACTGAATGAACATTGTTAGAGCAGTCTGCTTGACCAGGCCATGGTGGCACAGGCCTTTAATCCCAGCACTCTGGAGGCAGAGGCAGGTGGATCTCGTGAGTTCAAGGCCAGCCTCGTCCACAAAGTGAGTTCCAGGACAGCCAGTCTCAAAACAAAACAAAAACAAAGATTTATTGTATGTATATGTGGGCTTTGCCTATATTTATATCTGTGCAACACATATGTGCCTGATGCCCATAGAAATCAGAGGAGGATATTGGATACCCTGGAACTAGGGTTATGGATGGCTGTGAGCTGCTATGGGGGTGCTGGTAATCAAACCTGGGTCCTCGTAAGAAGAGCAAATGCTCTTAACCACGGAACCATCTCTCAGCCCCTTGCCTATGTGATGGGTATTTTAGCCATATTTTAGGTAACCAAATCTAATAAAACTGGAGGGGGGGGATCAGGCTTACAAAACATTTCCGAAAGGCAACATAGGAGATAAGCCACAAAACCACAAAATCAAAGTGCAAATGGCCCTTGTCTGCTTTAGCCCCCAAAGGTGGGCCACACTGGGGCCCGAAGGGGGCACTAGTCTCCAGTCACTTCAAGATCACATATTTTGGGTTTCTTTTCTGTTTGTTTGTTTTGGGACAGGGTTTCTCTGTGTGGCTTTGGCTGCCCTGGAACTCATGGCCAAGCTGGCCTCGAACTCACAGATATCCACCTGCCTCTGCCTCTAGAGTACCTGTGATTAAAGGCTTGGGCCACTACTACCAAGCCTGTTTTCTTTTTTAAAATAATTTTTAAAGACTTTTTAAAATGTATGTATATGTACCCATTTGAGAGTTATGTGCACCTCTGCAGAGGCCAGAGATCTTCATAACCAGTGTGGGGGCAGGGTCCTCGGCAAGAGCCTTAACTTGAACGCTTAAGAGCCTTGGGTGCTCTTAACGGCTGAGCTAACTCTCCACCCACCCTTCTACTTTCTTTTTTTAACAGTGAAGCCCAGGAGTCCTGTGTGTCTGTCCTGCCTGCATCTTGCCCCTCCATCCCTTGGCAGGAACTGTAGATTGTGGCTCTCCCCGCTCACTCCTGTGTTTCTCAGCACATGCGGTGGCATACAGTCAAAGACCACACATCACACTAAGAAGTTAGGCCAAGTGTCTCCCAGGAAGCCTGTGGTGGTTTGAATAAGAATGGCTTCCATAGGCTCATATATTTGGAAGCTTAGTTATCAGGGACTGGCATTATTTGAAAGGATTAGGAGGTGTGGCCTTGTTGGAATAGGTGTGTCACTGGAGGTGGGCTTTGAGGTTTCAGAAGCCCAAGCTGGGCTCAGTGTCCCTCTCTCTTCCTGCTGCCTGTGGATCCGATCTAGAACTCCCAGCTGCCTCTCCAGCACCATGTCTGTCTGCATTCTGTTATGCTTCCTGCCATGATGATAATGAACTAAACTTCTGACACTGTAAGCAAGCCCTAATTAAATGCTTTCATTTATAAGAGTTACCATGGTTACCCTGTGGTGGTGGTGCACGCCTTTAATCCCAGCACTTGGAAGGCAGAGGCAGGCAGATCTCTATGAGTTCAAGGCCAGCCTGGTCTATAGAGCGTGTTCAGGACAGCCAGGACCACAAAAATAAATAGATAGATAGATAGATAGATAGTTGCCATGGTGACTCTTCACAGCAGTACTCACTGAGATAAAGTCATGGCGCCTGTTGACCTTCTGATACCCAATCGGAGTCAGCTGCAGATGCATGTCCATAGAGGATCTGAATCCCATTCTGGCTTCTGTGTGTCACCTGGCCAGAAACCCCATCTGGCCAGGTTAGGGTGGGGGATATAGAGCAGGCTGGGTTCCGTGTGTTTGGGTGCAAATCAGTGACAGAGGAGTAGAGCCTCATGTTACTCCAGCCACCATGCCCTCAGCAGTCACAGCTGCAAACACCACTGCTTCCTTAGCTTGCAGGCTGTGTGATGGTTCACACTGGTTGTCAGCCTGCCTTGTCTGGAATTAACTGAAAGACAGCTGGACACACCAGGGAGGGATTTTTCTGGATCAGATCATTTGAAGAGGGAAGACCCAGCATAAAAGAGGGTAGAATCCTTGGGTGGCAGTCCAGACATGAAACCTAAGTCAAAGCTTGTGCACTGTGCAGCTACTGGGTTCTTTGCTTCTCCAGTGTGAAGACACCTGCTGCTGAATGACCTAGGCCATACTGTGTAAGCGGTCTAACAAATGCCCACTTTGTCTATATTTATTCTATAGGTGCTGTTCCTCTAGGGAACTCTTGCATAGCTGTAAACTTAGTCAAGAATGACATCTAACTTTTATTGAACTTTTGGACTCCCAAACTTAAGCTGATCAAGAATGAAGACAAAATTCAACAGAAAATACCAACAGCATGAGGCTGGAGAGACGGCTCAGCAGTGAAGAGCACTGGCTGCTCTTCCAGTAGATTCCAGTTTGATTCTCAGCACGCACACAAGTAGCTCACGACCCTTTTGGGTTTTGTGATGCCCTCTTCTGGTCTTCTCAGGCACTACATGCACACAGTGCACAGATATAAATGCAAGCAAAACACTTATACTAACATAAAGATAAATCTCAGAATACTGAAAAATAACAAAAGCCACAAACACAGAACTTCCTAATTATGCTGTTTATTATTCTTAATTCACTCAGCAGGTTACACCTCTGATGTGGTGGGCAACCACATCAGATATGTGGGTATATATGCTACAGACACAATCAATTTGTGTGGATTTAAGAATTACCCAAGTTAGCTGGGCGGTGGTGGCACACACCTTTAGACCCAGCACTTGAGAGGCAGAGGCAGGTGTATCTCAGTGAGTTCGAGGTCAGTTTGGTCTACAAAGCGAGTTCCAGGACAGTCAGGACTGTTAACACACACACACACACACACACACATCTGTCTCAGTCAAAGGGGAACAAAAAGGGAGGGAGGATCTGGAGAAGAGCAGTCAGGGAGCCTGAGGATCCTCTATCAGGCCTGGTGTGCAGGCGGACAGCAGTGCGAGCCCAGTGGTCCTGATGCCAACCAGACAACTCCCTGCCTCAGAAACCAGAGCCCCGCCCTTCCCCCTCCACAGGCGCAGAGCAAGGCCTAGCTATCACTGTTGCTACGCTGCTCCACACAGAAACGTCCGAGACCAACAAACGGGTGGATGAGAAGCCTTTCGTTATAAAATGTGCAAGTGCCACCTGACATTAAGAAATGGTTCCAATTTTTATTCATAAATTATCAAAACTACAAAAGGAGATTGACAGAGGGACAGGTCAGTAGAGAACAGGTGGACGATGAAGTAGACACGCTCTGAAAGTTTTAAAGGCGCCGCACAAGAGCAGGCCTCTGCAGTTAGCTCTGGCTGCCTGACAGCTCACCTCACTCCTCCGTCCTCGTGAGCTCCCTACATTGGCCTTTCTCTTTCCCGACTTGACCAGACGTGGCTTTGTGTTGAAGATTTGTTTCCTGTCTGGCTGGTTCCAGCCTGGTGATAAGCACCTGTTAGGAGACAGAGTTTTAAGCCAAAGGAGTCTATAAGCTCCATGACCCCAACAGTGGAGCCTCCCTGGGTCCTCCCACCAGCCAACCTCAAGACCTCGGATTCCCTGAGGTTCCCATGAGACCATTTACACAGCTCAGTGACGTGTTGATTATGGATGGACATTTTTCTTATGTGCCTGGATGACATGATACACTGCTTAGAAAAACATCTGGATTCTCACTAGCTACTGGAACCCTGCCTTACTGGGTGGATGTCCATGCAGACAGTTGTGCCATTGGCCTCCTCATGCCGAACCTGTTTGATGTGGCTGACATACTGATTTCGGTACACTTGGACCACCTTGCTGATCTGCTGGCCTTTGCAGTGTCCTCAACCCCCCTAGGACAGCACAGCACACGGAGGGAGCTGTCAGGAACACATGGGTTAAACATACAAACTTCTGAACGAAAATAGACGTGGCAGTCAGAGCTGGCTACGTCTGTGCTGTGTATTTGTCTTATGGTTGGCTGTGCGGAGATTCTTCACCTTTATCTATTTACTTTGGGAAGAAGGGGACTTTTCCACAGCCAGGGATAGTCATTACAGAAGTAGTCTCGAGATCGAGAAATATAGAGCAGGCAAGATGGCTCACCAAGTAAAGACCACTGCCACCAGGCCTGAGGACACAAGTTCAATCACTTGAAGCCACAGAGTAGAGAGAACTCCCCCAAGTTGTCTTCTGACCTCCATATATGCCCTGTGGCATACATGTATTTATATACATAGCATAAGTAAATAAATGCTATTTATTTATTTAATTTATAGGAGAATATAATCATTCTTCAAGTGTCGAGGCAGAAGCCAGGGTTTTGCACATTAGGCCAAGTTCTACCACTGAGCCACATTCTAGTTTTTAACATCTAAACAGAAAATGGTGTTAAGGAAAATCCATAGCTGGGCGGTGGTGGCACATGCCTTTAATCTCAGCATTCGGGAGGCAGAGGCAGGAGGATCTTTGAGTACGAGGCCAGCTGGATCTACACAGAGAGATTCCAGGACAGCCAGGGCTACATGAAGAAACCCTGTCTTGGGGGGTGGGGTAGAAATTTTCCAAAGACTATCATGTGACTATTTAAAATACCACAATTGTAAAACTGTATCGTGCGCCTGGGGATGCAAGAGCCCTTGCCTAGTATGTATAAGGCCCTGGGTTCAAACCCTAGCACCACAAACACAAAACTAACCGGTGGCTGGGAGTAGAGTCAGTGGTGGAGAATGTGCTTGTATGCACAGGCCTCGCACTGCACAAGCCTAGAACAGGAGCACGTGCCTGTGTTCTCAGGCCAGCACTCAGGAAGATCAGAGGTTCAATGTCATCCTCAACTCATTATTTAGCTTGAGCATCAGTTTCTTCATATCTAAAAGAAAACACAATTCACATCTCATATACACTTTTTAAAACTCTTTTACCGCACCTTTCATAGTCATCTGCTTAATAAATGATTTTCCTAGTCAACAAGTATTGACTGTGTCCTACTAGGAGTCTGGTTCTGTACTGAGACCTGGTGACAAACATAACATTCTCTGGCACATGGACCTTACATGGGACGAGCAATAAGCAGTTAACAAGTAAATATGCAAATGTGGTCACTATCAGAAAAGGAAGACACCAGAAGTGACTGATACAAATGGCTTTGATCACAACAGGGCAATGAGTGTTGGCATTACAGGGAGATGGTCCTACACCATTAGGGTCATTAAGGAAAATGTAAAGACTCGTGACATCCGGTGAGACATGTCACCTAGTGACATATAGAAGCTGAGCGGAAAATCAGATTTTAGCGTGAAATCGAGAAACTGAATGCTTTGAGGCAGCACAGGCATTGTAGTGGCTCTGGTCCAGCACGCCCGCTGTCGCCTTGCTGAGGTCTTGGGGTATGTGACTACTCCGGGATTTCACGCTAAGGGGGTGACTGAACCATATATCCCTGGGTAACTACAACCCAAGGGGCTTCTGGATGTACCTGGACCTCGTCGTCCTTGCAGATGGGAAAGGAGCGGACGTTGTACTTTCGCCGCAGTTCTTTGCACAGCCGGGAAGACATGGTCTTTCCGAGCACGTGAGAGGGGACATTGAAATGATTTTTGAGACTCTGTTGAGGTCCGAGATCACCAAGGGGTGGTCCTTCCCTGTGATCGCCTATAAAGGGCACCGCAGGAGATAGGGAAGAGCCAGGTCTCCAGCCAAAAAGGGTCCTGAGAAAACCACCACCACTCACGCACCAGTTCCGGCTCTGGTGCAGAGCGCGCAGGGACGGATATGACGTTTCCCCGTGGCGCAATCGCAGAAGGGACGCAAGTCTCCGCTTCCTGCCGTAGGAAAGCTGAACAGCGCCCCCTGCGGCTGGAGTCGAGTCTCGGCGCTGCTCTCTTCCCGTAGTGGAGTGGGCAGGGAGGCCGGCTGGAACCCCTTAGCCTTAGGACCTGAGAGATACTGCTTTGTAATAGAAGATACAAAGATACTGCTTTGTAATAGAAGCCTATGGGTGCTTCTCAGGCTTCAGTTTCCGATTTGATACTGGGGACCGAATCCAGGCTTTTGGGACATTTTCTAACCTGGTCTGGTGTCTCATTCCTGTCATTACAGTACTGGAGTGGAGGAACCCAGAGGATTGAAAGTTCAAAGCTGACTAGACTATGTAATACCCTCTCTCAAAATCCAAACAAACAGCTGGGACCTATTCTGTTGGGTACTTAGACGACTCGGAGGCTGCTGAGGATGGACTTTCCCTTCAGATCAGATCAGCCTCCCACCTCTTCTTTTCTTTATAACACACCATTTTTTTTAATATTTATTTATTTATTAGGTATACAATATTCTGTCTGCATGGATGCCTGCAGGCCAGAAGAGGACACCAGACCTCATTACAGATGATTGTGAGCCACTACATGGTTGCTGGGAATTGAACTCAGGACCTTTGGAAGAGCAGACAATGCTCTTAACTGTTGAGTCATCTCTCCAGTCCATAACACATCAATTTTAAGAAAGGGAAGCACCACAAGTTGTCCCTCCTTAAGTCTTAAAATATCAGAGGAAAGGGAGGAGGCTTGTAACTGGCTAAATGCCGACCTTGCTTGTTGTGACACCTTGGGCATTATCCCCTGAAGACAGACAGATAGACAGGCAGATAGACAGACAGACAGACACACACACACACACACACACACACACACACACACACACACACACCAAGCTGTGTTCAGACCTCCACTGTCCAGCATGCCTGCATTCTCGGACCCTTTCTTGGACTCTCCTAGCGACTCTTGGGAGCAGCTGAGATTACAACTTGTCTGCCCTGTTGGTTTCTCTAAAATTCCCATGAGATGCTTCTCAAAACTTCATTCTGAGTCCAGTTTTTAAAAATTATTTTTATCAGTAAGACTAAAACCCATTCCCTATTTCCTAATAACACTTCAGTCACTGAGCCGTATGCAGCCCCATTTCTTTGCTGCTGTCCTTTTATCTTCTCACCATTCCCAAACACTTCACTGCCACCGCCATTGCCCTCAGCAGAGTGGTCTGGAGAAGTCACGTGGCAGGTACTGCACAATTGTTCCCAGTCTCCTGGTTACCGAACCTCCATCCTTGGACATTCAAGTCCATTCCATCGTAATGCTTGCATATGAATATAACCCGTGTGTGTCCTGCATACTAAATGATTCTAGATATAACATCTAGTACAGTGTAGAGGCTGTATGAATTCTTATACTGTATTGCTTAGGAAATGAAAAGAAAACCTGCACATGTTCAATACAGAGAAACAACTATTTTTTTTTTTATCTAAATATTTTCCACCGGTCTCTGGTTCAATTTGTGTGAAATCTGCCCATGTGGCAGACTGACTGCACATTGTCCAAATTCCTTGAACACCATGGCATACCATTTCAAAAGTCATATGACTGACTTCTTCAGAATTACTAAGCTCAAAATGGAAAATTTTGGGTTCTATTACAATTCTATAAAAACACATGGTGGAGGCTGGAGAGGTGGCTCAGCGGTTAAGAGCTTTGACTGCTCTTCTAGAGGTACTGAGTTCAATTCCTATTCAATTGAATCACATGGTGGCTCACAACCATCTATAATAGGATCTGATGCTCTCTTCTGGCATGCAGGTGTACACATAGAACACTTATACATGAGAAATATAAATAAATTTTAAAAAATTTAAAAATCACATGGTGGGCCAGGCAGTGGTGGTGAACACCTTTAATCCCAACACTCAGGAGATAGAGGCAAGCAGAACTCTGTGAGTTCGAGGTCAGCCTGTTCTACAGAGGGAGTTCCAGTATAGCCAGGGCTACACAGAAAAACCCTGTCTCAAAAAACAAAAACAAAACAAAATAAACACACAAAAATCGCCAGATGGTGGAAGGTCAGAGATATATCTGAAATAATTTAAATTAAAATAAAATTTAATTTATTAGTGTTGGGAGTTGAATCCAGTAACTTGATACATTAAACACACACTCTACCACTGACTTACATTTCCCTGTTCCTCAAATCTAAACTTTTAAAAAAGCATCTCTCAATGTTTGGTTTTGTTTTTTGTTTTTATATTCACACCCCTCTGTTGTTTGTTTAGCCCTTGGATCATAAAGTCGTACCTGGTTCCAGCTGTGTCTTTCTTGCTGGATCTGGGAACCGCCTGCTTTATAGTCTTGATTTCCTGATCTGTACAATGGGAATGCTCTTAGTAGGTCGTCGTGAGAATTAAGTAAGTTTCCTAGAGTGTTCAGAACAGTCCCTGGCACGAACCAGGTATCGGTCTTCCTAAAAAGAGCAGGTGTGTGGGGCTCACTCAGGGTAAGCCAAAAGACAGCCAATCTTCACATTAGACGTTTTATGCTGGAACTAGCGCTTTAATACTGAGCTGTAACCTTGTTGCTCTAATACTGAGGTGTATATCCTCAGTGCTCAGAGCCCTAAAATTAATCTCAGTGATGGAAACTGTTAGCTTTCTGTGTGAATGGAAACATGCGCGATGCACCACACGGGCGAGAGTGTGAGGTGTGCTCTCTTTACTTTTTTTTTTTTTTTTTTTTAAACTGCTTTAGAGATCTTTGGGAAAGATCCAGCTCACCATCCTAAGAGTCCACGGCTGCCCCCGCCAACCTTCGAGTTCCAGACCGGGTCCCACCCCGGCCTAGCGAACGAGCTTTGCTTTGCCTGTAGGAAGATTGCTGGTAGCGCGGTCGCCACCTGCAGGTTCGTCCGATTAAGACACGCTGCACATCGTCTGGGCGTGAAGTCTTGGTCCTGGCGGTGCTGTCTGCTGTGAAGAAGGCACCTGCCTTGTGAAGGCCCCTCCCTGAGCACTGTAGCGACGAGAATGGAGGAAAAAGGCTTCCAGCTCCCGCTGCTTTCATGTTAAAAGCCCGAAGTGCTTATTCTGTGGGAAGTATTATTCATTCAGCATCTCTAGCCCTCCCATTCATCCATTCACGATCCATCTGCTGAACACCTACTTTGTCCCAGATGCTGGCTAGGAGGCTGTAATGTTCACTTAACAGATGGAGACACTAAGATGCAGAAAGGATGTCGTGCCCAATGTTGAAACACCACCTTGAGGCTGGTCCTTCCAGTGCGCATTCCTAACTTATTAGAGTTGGTAATAGGGAAGTCCAACGCTGGTATTACTGGAGCTCTGACTAGTGCAGTTCTGTTTTGGACTTTATTTTAGAGGCCCCTACAACCAGGATTGGAGATTTTTGGAGGAAGCCTATATTTGGGCAATGTATGCTTTAACCGCAGTTAAAGCCATAGAGACCGCAGTGGCTTCACTGCCATCCACTGTCAGTGTGTCTAGGTTGCAAGGGTTTGGGGAAAGGATCATCAGTGACCTCAAACGAGTACGTGATTAACAGTGTGTGTCACCATGCCTAGCGTCTGCCAGACACTTTCACTGGAAACCCAGGGGCAGGCGCCAGAGTGGCCGTGCCCAGGGAGGGTCAGAGGGTGTCCTCATAGGCGTCATCTTGGAAGTGAGTTCACTCATTCGCTCACCGACTCTCCTCCTGCCCAGCCAAGTCAGTCCCTACACACTTCCTCAAGTGTTCACCCACTCATTGATTTATTTGGCCCCACGTGAAAGCACGTGCAGAGTGTGAGGGGAGATGTGGAGAGCATTTTAACGCCTATACTCTCCGTCCCTCACAGGTTCATCTAAAGCGGCGATTCTCAACCTGTGAGTCGTGGCCCCTTTGGCATTTCTCTCTCAAAAACATTTACATTACGATTCATAGCAGTATCAAAATTACAGTTAAGAAGTAGCAATGAAAATAGTTTCATGGTTGGAGGTCACCACAATATAAGGAACTGTATTACAGGGTTCCGGCTTTAGGAAAGTTGAGAATCAGTTTTATTTTGTTTTTGTTTTTTCTTTTTTTTTTTTGTAATTTTATTAAATTATAAAAAGTTTCCATTTACGCCCCTCCTCCCAACGCCCTCCCACTCCCCCCCTCCCTCTCCTCCTCCCTCTTTGTCCCCAAGGGAAGTCAGGGTCTCCTGCCCTGTGGGAAGTCCAAGTTCCTCCCCCCTTGTTTTTGTTTTTTCATCTTTTTTTTTCGAGACAGGGTTTCTCTGTGGCTTTGGAGCCTGTCCTGGAACTAGCTCTTGTAGACCAGGCTGGCCTCGAACTCAGAAATCCTCCTGTCTCTGCCTCCTGAGTGCTGGGATTAAAAGCATTCGCCACCACTGCCCATGAGAACCACTGTTTTAAAGGGTGTTGGGGGGGAGACAAAAGAAAGCACAAAAAAAGGTTCCCCTGTTCTGACCCTCCTCCCTTCATTTCCAGTTTTTCCCTTTGACGTGGCTCTGATGATCTTGGGGCTGACGCAGAACCTTGTGTTTTTTCAGAACCCTGCACTCAAGTAGGTCTGAGCTGGAATTCCAACTGTGCCCCCTGCTAGCTGTGTGACCAGGATACAATTATGCCTGCCTCTTCCCGGCATGCCGAGAATACCCAAACCTCCCAATGATGGGTTAGAATAAAATGCATGACCTCATCAGCCAAGAACTGGCAGGAAACAGCTGTGGGGAGGAAAAGGGTCTTCAGAGAATGCTCTTTTACAGATGTCCCCTCTCACATTTGCACACTTCCATATCTGTCCTCAGATAGTGAGCCTTCTAGAAGCACACACCAGGTTTATTTGACTGTTGTTTGGTGCTGGGGGAGTAAGCCTGGGGCCTCTAATACTGAGATCCACCTCCAGTTCCAACAGCAGTTTTAAATTATGTAAATTTCACTT